AAAGTGAACAATAATCTATAAATAGTTATAGATTATTCCTTTGAACAATAGTTATTCCTTTGAATAAACAATAGTTATTCCTTTGAACAACTTCTGAATTCAGTTATGAACAGAAGCCGACAAAATATGATAGAACGAGTAGCAATTCAATGAATTTATGAAACACTGAACTATCCTAACTTATTGTACGATTGGAATATAAAGTAACTGCCGAAGTTTGCCACTTTCAAAAACCAATGAAGGAATAACATGCGAATTTATTCTAAGCAGAATTTATGATGGATAGGTGCATTACTATAGCGGCAGTATTGCCGTGATACACTAATTTTTGGTCGGCTTCAATGATTGTGATGTCAAAAACGAGACTGTTGATGATAAAGAAATAAAACTGACATGAAATACCTTTATAAAAGCATCCAAATATAACGGAACATCACTTGACTGGGGAAGTTCGAGTTTTCGATTCTTCTGAAACTAACTCAGTCAGTGAAATGAAGGAACATGCAATTCAAACCTATTCAATAGGCAAGTATTTATTCCATGAAACAAGTGAAATCCTCTCAAATAGACTGCCAAAGAACAAAATCGCTCGTCTGCATAATTTTTCCAGAAGTACAATACACCAATCGCTATACACAAAAACAGGTGAAAATTTGAATGACTGACTATGATATGATAACTATTTGAATTCTATTCTTGATTCTAAATTGAATTCTAAATTTGATGACTATTCTTGATAAATAACTATTTGAATGTAATTTGAATAACGTGAGCAAATGAATAAATGAGTGAATTAATTGGGCAATAGAGTAAATGAGCAGAAAAATCATTCGATCGGAAAACTCACCGTTCCAAGTGAAGTTTGTGCTTGGGATGAAGCTCGACTGAACGGTAACGACAAAAGACTTGATTTATTGTTCATAAATAAATTATTGAGTGCTGATTGGTATTGTTGCTCTTGCTGTGGACGTGGTTGTTTCCGCTTTTGAGCCGGACTCGAAAGTGCCTGAGCAGCAGACGAAGATGACGGTGTGACCGCATTGCATGTCGCATTCCCATCTGGAATTATTGTTGTTGACATTTTAGATTTTTAGATTTAGACCAATTATTTTTCAAAATACCAAACTCATAACTTCTCATTGGGTGTACTTGGTTAAATAGGAAGCAATCGAGTATTTTGATCTATTGAATAGATTGTTTGATATTAAATATCAATAGAATTTGTAATTTAGTGATCGTTTNCCCATCTGGAATTATTGTTGTTGACATTTTAGATTTTTAGATTTAGACCAATTATTTTTCAAAATACCAAAATCACAATTTCTCATTCGGTGCCCTTGGTTAAATAGAAAGCAATCGAGTGTTTTGATCTATTGAATAGATTGTTTGATATTAAATATCAATAGAATTTGTAATTTAGTGATCGTTTATACCACATTCGGATAATATCAAATAAAATTTCGATATTGGTAACAGTCAGCTTTTGTGCTGCTAATCGAATGGCGGAAGGCACTGAACGATTAGCATCCAAATGAAATGTCATATCCGATAAATCTGGTGACCATCAACAAAAATCTGGCGTAATGTTATTCAATGCATATGTTGTACGTACACTATAAGCTTGGATTGTTGTATCTCATCAGGTCAATCCCTTTTTTAGGAACAGGAAACTTTACTTTATGGAAGACAAGCGATTTGCCTGTTTTGGTTAAGTATAGGTTCTTTTCCTTCTAAACTTTCTGTTCTCAAGAAGCACCGGAGTTGATCACAAGGATCAATATATGGTATCAGTTGGCAACGGTAAGAACGCGTATGAGATGAAGTGATTCCTTCGAAATCAGCTGCTGACAAAATTTGGTCAGGCCTAATGAAGTGGTCCAGGAAAACGACAAGGAAACGAAATTTATATAAATGGAAACAACAACAACTCACTATAACTTCTTGGCACATAATGTGGATTTTTAGTGGTATGATCGTGATCGCCACTTGCATACAACGTGATCTGATCAGGTGCATGATAGAGTGCGTACATGCGGAAATTACAATTCGTCCGACGCCAATTATTACAACGATAGAAAACTTTTGTGCCGTTGATTTGCGCCACACTCTTGCGTTTCGAGACCTTTTCACGTTTTCGTACCTCATTCATTGTTGCCTCAGAAGTGAACCAACCGACAACACGCCATTCACGTTTCATTTTTGATTCTGAAACTTTCCTCCAGTTTCAATGAAACCAATTCAGACCTCATTCAATCGCTTTCAATGCAATAGGAGGATTCCTTCCCATTTACTCACCTATTCAGTTCATTTAAACAAAAATACACTAATTGGCATCAACAAAACACCTGTTGATCTCATAATCAACTTTTTTGCTGAATCGCTAGTCAATAGCTTCACATCATTCAGTTGTAGATGCTTATTGTAGATGCTCTGAACCCCGAAATTTCATTAGCGTCTTTCGTTCAGTGTCTAAAACAACTAACTAAAGCAACTCGTACCATATCGCCCACCTTAATATCTTGAAGGATACCCCTGGTGTTCTAATCAGCAGATTGACTGTGTATTCAAATTCTCAACATATAGCATTCATCGCCTCATTGGCTATCCTCATTGACTAGCTGATTCATAAGCCATTGCTGAATCTGATACTAAACGGCGAATTGATCAACAACTGCAGATTGATGGCACATTAATGCGGTCAGTTAATCGTGTCAGCTTACGTCCGTTCGGGAACTTCTGTTTGGCTGATGTGGCTTGAGCAATGACCGGATTCATCAGAGTATCATTCAGGAGTGTGTTCGAATACTGCAGGGTGCCATCGTAACTGGCTCCATTCATTGACTCGTTGTTATCATTGAGATTGCAACCAGTTTTGATGAAGGAACCGTCGTTGTTGTTATTTTTTTGGCATGCAGACACTTGATTTAGCAGCGCTTCTAGTTGTGGCATATTCTTTTCATCTGATATCACCTAGAAATGTGGATATTATCACACCTGATTTTTTTTCGTAAACGTTCGTGTACAGGGAACTGTAATATTTTCACTGCGAAACTGTAAGATTTGGTTAATACATAAGCCAAGAAACACTCTTAGTGGATGAAGAAGGTAGGGCGAGTGAAAGCTTAAATTCATTATCAATCGGCGATTTGTTGAAGGCTTAAGAAAGAATAAGCTAAATCGCCTGGTACCGGTTGAAATGCAACTGGCATGGAACATGAAAGATTTTGAAAACAGTAAAATAACAGTTTTTTGGAGAAGAGGTAACTGACAGTAAAGTTGAAGAAGAGAAAATAAAGTGATTAGGTAAAAATGAAAAATCAAGGAAAGGGAAGACGACTATAGACTGACCAGAGTATCAATAGCTGCTGTCGAATTCTGTGCCGTTTCATCATGAATACCCGAACCACTATCCGACGAGTCATCGTGAGCCATATCACAGCCATTCTCCGCAGTTTCAGTGGACGTATTCGGTGCTGTCGATTCGAATTTCTCACATTTAATTTCAAATTTTATCTCACATTTGATCTCGCTTTTATCTGCGGTTTCTTGTTGTTGATCACACAGAAGTGTTGTTGGCACATCCACGGAATCCATTTGGGTTTTTAATTGATAAAATGAAAATCTGAAATTTGCACAGCAACTGACTGATATGGATACACAGAGAGTCGATTGGAAACGTTTCATTTGTTCACAAACTCTCAACGAACGGCATTATTTAACGGCGAACTATCTCACTGTGGAATCGATTTCGAGAATTNTTCTCTGTAGAAGTGTTCTCACTTCTAAAATGATCTCATGTGACAGATCCCATTCACAACCGTTACTTTCGATAGAAATCACAAAAATAGCCCTAGTTTCTAGAACGCTGCAATCGCAAACGGGACGAGCATTGTCCTCATCAACCGGTGAGAGGCAATCTCGCGTTCGTAGCTAGTTGAATCAGTATAAGCAACGAACGAGTAAACATTCACGAAAATAAATTTTGTTAAATCATCCAGCGTATCATTTTACGTCATGATAAGGAAAGCAAACAGAACTTTATCCATTGATGATAGCAGCTATCAAAGCAAATTAATATCGCATTCAGAACGCCCGTTTGTGGATGTTATAACTAAGTATGTGTCTTCATACGATTACAGCTGAATCTGATCCTCAGTTATAATTGTATTGAGAAGCTGAAACATTCCTACTGACATTATCACTAGGTAAGCATTTATAACAGTCTTAGCAAGGATTGCATGTTGCTACTGAGAAAGAAAGGCACAAAGAAAGTGTCATTTGGATGCTTAGTGTGCGATTGACGNATTGCATGTTGCTACTGAGAAAGAAAGGCACAAAGAAAGTGTCATTTGGATGCTTAGTGTGCGATTGACGTCACATCATTCAACATAGCATATTTTTGATAAGACATTATGATTACGATTGCAAAGTGCTTCTGCTAACAATAGAATATGTGAAATATCATTTCACAGCGATAAAATTTAAAAAAAAATTCCGCACAATTCACGTACTTCATAAGAACAACATACTAATTGCCATTGATATTGGCTCAAGAAACCGAGCGCATTTCTCGCCTAGTATACTGTACTTGAAAGAATCAATTCGCAGAAATAGTCACAATTTCTTCGTCGTTTATTAAAGAAAAGCATAGCTATTGAAAGAATCGCAATGCAAGGAGCAACCATATCAAAGCACGTTAGTAATTCAGTGAAAAAAGATGACCTTTTGCTGTAAATATGACTAATGGAAAGCATGCAATCTCAAGTTTAGAAGTCAACATTAGTTTCGAATCGCCTTTCAGTGAATTCGAATCGTTTGAAGTGGTTCACTCAACGACGCCAGGTCTCCAGGCGCGAGGATTGCGATGCATAATTCATCTTCTTTATACTTTCGTCAAATGTTCATCGTCAAATCTTGTATACTTTCAACAACAACATATTTATCACATTTAATGACACTTTTGTAAATTTTTCTGTTACGTTTAGCAGTTAAAAAATTGCAGACAGCTCTCCAACGTCCAAAAACAAAACAATGCACACGTCCTGGTTTTAAAACAAATAAAGCAGTGGTACCAGTGAGTAGGACGGTACAAAAAAATGATCGAATCAATACGAAATGCGAACAAGACAGCCTGGTCTGGATGCGGATAATGGATGAACATACAGGTTATGGATGAATAATTGATGATAGATGGCCGTGGAGCCTCATTCACTTACTATGACTTCAAATCAGCTTATCTCAGAGTTAATCCATCATATCACAAGCGTTTGTGCCGAGCAATAATAAAAGAAAATTTCTTTATAGTGCTCGGTACTCTCTTATCCGCACCTTTGCATCATCCGTCATATCACGATTGCGTGCGATGCTCGACGAATAAGTCGAAATCGTAAGTAATACGCTAAGACAAGGCCAAAGCCAACCTAAAATCTGCTTGAGCTAAAGCTAAAGCATCGTTCAGGATTATGACGTGCTTTATCCGTATACGTAGCCGATTCTAAGGATTTCTCTGATAGACCACATGAGGAACTGCGGATGACGATACGATATGAGAGTTCCTGTCAACGGACTTAATTTTTTCTGTTCACAATATTAATCCTGTCAGAGTTAATCTTCTAGCTTCTTTCAAAGAATCGCTTTGTTTTCATTCGTTCACATTGGCGATCATCGACTGATTTTGACCTTATGCATATCGGATATAACCCAAAACTCTTAAGATGCTAAAATCCCCCCCTAGAGACTATTCTTTCACCAATTTAATATGACTATGCAGCGATATTCATTCAGTGTCATCGATTCAATCGATTTGTTTACAAAATCTGTAAATGTGTAGATAAACGGAGAACAGAAAACAGTTACATTCAGAAAAAAAAAGTCTTTCTGAATATTTTGTAGTAGCAATATAATGAGTGCTTCGTTTCGGATGTATGTCGTTTTCAGTCAATCGCTTAAAACATTTACGCACCTGCTACTCTATTACTTGTATCAATACTTTGTGAACAAATTAAGTGGCTCGAATTTCAGCCTGAACTTTCCATTTATATCTTGAAATTTTAGTGTAGAAAATGTATTATATTCAGTTTCACTGAACATTTTTTTCACAAAACTCTCAGCAACTAGCAAAGAATGCAAAGAATGAATGCAGAATAAAAAGTTAGCGGAAAAAAGCAGGTCAAAGAGCACGCGATTTCGTGCAAATCTTTCCACTTCGAAAGGGAATCGAACTCGCGACGTAAAAATTATCAGTTAAAAAAGGAAGAGAAAACGGTTGCAAGGAATATTTTTCAGCAGCAATCGAATCGAATGAAAGTGATAGCATCGTAATGAATATGATCTCATCAAACGTATAAATCATATTTTGCCATAAGACAACATAATTACTTTCTGGTCAGTATTGTTATTACTCGTAGATGCGTAGACAAGAGTGTTCATTGCATCAGTGTTAATGAATAACATTCATTATGTGGTTACTTGTTTTCGATTCGATAATTAATTCAGTTTCGGAGTAAAGGCAAAGCAAAACAATTAGATAATCGACTACTGAAAGGGAATGTTAAATGAATAAATGAGGTGTTATAGAACGAGCTGAGATATGCATCCCTCGATAATAAGCCTCGATAAAAATGCATGAAACATGATCATCTCTCGTAGGAAGGCTTATCGTTAGCTGCTGGCTGTTCGTTCGGTTGTTTATTAGGTTGCGACTGTGTTGTCTGGCTAAGGCTGTCATTTAGATGTGGCAATAAGGAGGGAGACTGATGGCTTGGATGAGGCTGGCTGGTAAGACCCCATTCGTAGGTGTTTCCATCGTAATTGGCAGTGGTAAAGGGCGATGGCTAGTCGAACCTTATAGCGAGAAATAACGACTAATTCTCATCGCTTTCTCTAGTGCACAGTTCTGGAAGGGAAAGGGAGAAGGTCTTCGGAGATGGAGTAGGGAGGAGATATTGAGCAAATGAACGGTCGTGCAATGGGAAAAAGAGAGCTCATTCGTTCTGAGTGGATGAGCTAACAATCGAAGAAGTTGACGAGCGATACAACCTATGTGGAGTTAAACTATCACTAATAATACCAATGATACTGAGCAATAACATTGGTAAGACCCCATTCGTAGGTGTTTCCATTGTAATTGGCAGTGGTACAGGGCGATGGCTAGTCGAACCTTATAGCGAGAAATAACGACTAATTCTCTAAGTGATGTAATGACATTGAACGGGGCTACCAATCCAGTAATGTGATCAAAGATGGTTCCGTCTGATCAGACGGACGGATGAGTGAATAGCGATTGCAGAAAAAGGATGACAAATAAAGCTTAAGCAATCCTGCTAGTAATAATGGTAGGTAGCCTTTGATAGTGATAGGCCTTCGGTACAAGTAATCAAAAGTAAACAAGTAAAAGTAAAAGTAAGGCAATTAGAGGCAAGAATCTATAGCGAAATGTTTTCTTTTTTGGATGAATGCTAAGAAGGGTGGTGATACTATTGTTGACATATTAATGATAGTCTAAATTATGGTAAGAGTGTATTATTTACTCAGAAGTAAGAGTTGGGGATTAGCATAGTAACGGATAAAGAAGGACTGGGGAATTGAAATGGATCAATGATAATGGGTGTTGGTGGTGGTTAATCAAACAAAATGAGATTAGATAAAATAAAATGTAATGTATGTAAGAATGCAAAATTGCCATCATTCAATAGTGATCGGCGATATTGAATTGTGAACACGATGGGAACGCAAGGGGGTGGGTTTAGTGTACCCTTTTTATATTTGAAGAGAATATAAAATATTGATGTTAATGCTGCCTCCCCTCCTCCCTCGACTCTATTGCACACACACAAACGAACGAACACAACCAATAGCAAATATTATACATGAATAAATATATCAATAGTAGAAGTATTGATGATTTGTATTATAGAACGAGTAGAAATGGCAGATGAATTGTGGAATATGAGGAAGGGAAGAAGTGAAACAACGATAGAGGGGGTGGTTTTTTCGAGAAAAATTACTAGTATTATTGGATGGGGAATGAAGAGACGAGGTTGCGACCGGCAATCTATTGGGGTGGTGTTTATATTAGTAGACGTATTTGTTGCTGCTGCTGCTGCTGCTGCTGCTGCTGCCAGTGTTAGACGATTTTGTTGGCAATTATTTATTATTGCCACTTGCTGTCAGTTGAATGATTGTGCGCTTTAGTGTGTTATATTTGTCGAGTTGGTGGCATAGTTGAAGAGAAGGAAGCAGCATTGTGTTCGTTCGTTCGGCTGGCAGGAAAGTGTGATACTGAAAAGTGATGACTAAGTAGGTGGAAGACGGGTGGGCATTACTGATTANATCGGGTTCAGTTAATCGAGTGCTTCTTCACTGGCTTATTTCTGAATGATTGGCAAGAAGTCTGAATCGGAAATCGCTTGTAGTTTCGTGGAAATACTACGGTGTATTAGCGGAATTCAGTGATAGTATGAAATAAGATGATCATATGCATAGGGAAAGAAGTTGCATCCGAACGCTACACTATCATTGTGGGCCAGGAATCAAGCTTAAGTTATAATGGCCCTGAAAAGACATATTTCTCGTTTTTCGCCCTACTTAGTGAT